ATTTCAACTCAGTCCCATCCCCTAACATAGATAGAAATAATAATAGTCAATCTGTTTTACCAGAGAGTGATATTTTTTCACTGCTCACTGGAAAGAACTTAATAGATAGTTATCTGAAAAAGGTTTTTTTTTTTTTTTTTTTTTTTTTTTTTTTTTTTTTTTTTTAAAAAAAAAAAAAAAAAAGCAGTCTCATTATAAATAATAATATTTTCAATATTAATTTAACCTTAAAATAGAATTCAGAAGACTCAAGTACAACTGAAAATTCTTTAAATAGGAATTCAAATTTGGAATCACCATGGAAATTATATAATCCTGATGAATGGAAAAAATGTCCCATGGGATGTTTACCCAATGGATTAATACCCTGCTTAGATTTCTCACTTGATTTAGATGGACCAAGTATTTTTATTCCTGAGCCATTGTATGTATTATAATTAAATATCTAGTTAAACTTTTGAATATTTTTTGTATTAAGTTATTAAATTATTTAAATTATTTGATAAATTAGCAGGGATGATGTTGACATGGTGTAAATTGGAGAATAGTAAACAGAAGAATAGAAAAAAATAGGGTAGAGGCTACATCTGAATTGAAAAGTTTTGACAGATGTGTTTGTCTTTTTTTTTTATAGATGTAATAAGAATTAGCTTTACTTTATTTGAAATGTATTTATAAGTTTTTGGATTCATTATCGATTTTTTTTAAACTTTTAAGTTAATTATTTATGAGTAATGTCTTAAATATTATGAGTTAAATAATATTATAAAAAGTTAAATGATTCGATCATTTATATATAACAGATAATCTTTATTATTATTTGTAAATATAAAAATTTTAATTTTACAAATTTCCAAGAATGGATACAAAGTTAAACTCTACAATTATCAATTTCATGTATTAAAATATCCTTTGCACCAATTTCTTCTAATTTATCCATAATTTCTGCAACCTCACATTTACTAACCAAACTTTGTACTTCCACCCAATTATTATCTTCCAATGGACTAATTGCAGGAGCACGTCTACCAGGAGTAATTTTAATGGCTTCTTCAAGATGAATACGTTGAATATTATAATTAACTAATACATATTTTTGAGCTGCTATTACACCTTTAATGCGAGAAGTAATTTTCGAGACAAGAGAAAGATTAGAAGGGTTTTTGTTACAAATTAAAATTGCTTGCGATGAAATAATTGTGGAAACAGGATGTAAGCCTGCTGTCTTCATTGTTTTCCCAGATTCTAAGTAAATCAAGAAGTTTAAAGGTAGTTAAAGATAATTAGAAATAATTGTTGAATTGAAATATAAAATGTCAAAAAAAAAAAAAAAATAATGCTTACCAACTAAATCAACTATATTTCAATTTGGAGAAAAATCAAGAAAGAAATGAATTAGATTAAAATAATAATAATAATTATAATAATAATAATAATAAAAGAATTTTAATAAAATATTTAAAGATCTCACCAATTCCATCACCTAAACCTAGGGTACAGGCTGCCTCAACGCTTCCACTTACATATTTAATCTTTGTCTTTACTCCAGCTTGCTTTTGTTCTTCAGTCAAATATTTTTTATCTAATTCATCAAAGTATTTCCCTACCAAACTTCTAAAACTTGTAACTATTCTTTTTCCTACTAATTCTTCAACTTTTGTTGCACCACCTACAACAGGTACTTGTACTTGTAATTCACATTTTCCAAATCCTAATTCTAGAATCTCATCTATTTTATCATTGGCTCCTGATTCAGCCACCTCATCTTGACCAGTAATTCCTAAATCAATATTTCCTTCAGCAACATATTTTGGTATATCCGTTGCAGGAAGAAACACGAGAGCAATTGGGAAGTTCTGAACTAAAGCAATGTCAAGTCGATTACGACGATGAAAATTAAGATCGGCACCTTTAAGTAAAGAAAGACTTTGTTCATGAAGACGGCCTTTCTTAGGAATAGCAAAAAGAAGTCGGTCAGAAAGTTTATTTATTATATCGGTCATCAATTTTAGATAAACGATTAACCTTGCCTTTTTAATTACAAAAAGTTACACGAAAAATTCCTTTTTAATTACAAAAGGTTACACGAAAAATTTTTACGCCAAATGTTCTAAAAAGCGTCTTTTTGTGTGAGAGAACAATGAGTAAAGTAATTTCCCAATAAGTTAAATCATTCAATTAATATTTTGGGTCAAAAAAATTGAGTACAAAAATAACAGCTGATCGGTATCTTTTACAATAAAATAAATATAGTTTTTTATTTTTTATTTTTTATTTTCTCACAGATTTTTATTCTTAAAAAAAAAAAAATAATAATGTCAGTAAATTCTCTTCCTACTCGTATACAAAATGATGAAATAGTACCAATTCCACTTGAACGTGAAAGCTATTTTTATCGTCATTCCACAGTTAAATTCACTTTCGAATTAAAAAATGTTGATAATATCATTATCAAACATTCTGCTTGCGGAATGCTTTTTTTGTCAGACAAACGGTTAATGTTCATCTCCGATGATTTGAATGAAAAATTTCAAACTTTTCATATTAAATTGGCAGATATTGTATCATCCGTGAGATCCGCAAGCATAAACTTCTTCAGAAATAACAATAATGTTTTTTCTGTGACTAATAAATTGAGAAACGGCGCTGTTGTAAACATGGCTATTGAATACGATCCTGAAGACCAAGAAGACAAGAGAATCTTTGAAGATTATTATGGAATGCTGATCACTTGGACTTCTAAAATACCTCCAGTAACTGCCAAAAATAAATATTTTAGTTTCAAGAAACAGACACCTGATCAATTCGAACAATATGAACCTCCTCCTCCTCCATATTCAACTTAAGACTACTGGTATCGTAAGGAACATCTGGATAATCTATAATGTCATTCTTACGTATTACATATTTATTTTTTATTACATATTTATTATTTATTACTCGATTTCAAACACGTTACAAGGGGCGCAAAATTTTTATTTAATTTTGGTTAAACTACGAGAATTTTTTTTTTTTGTAATCTATGAATTTAACCTTACTTGGTAGTAACCGAAATGATCACAAAATGATCAATAAAAAATGAACTTTATTTTCTTGAAAAAAAAAAAATCCTAAACATGTTCTTTTACACAACTTTCTTAAATATTATTGTAATATTTTTTATGTAATATTTTTTATATCTTTAAATAAATGTAATTATCTTTAAAAATATGAAAATATTTTATTCTTCAAAGATGTAATCAATCATGTCACGTTGGTTGAATCTGTTGTTTTCCTATTCATATTTATAAGATTAAACAACCAATAGACAAAGGTATTATATCCAGTCGAGAAAAATAATTATTATCATGGTGTTAAAAATTTAATAACTGAAAATTATTTAAGGTTAATATTTAAAAAAATCTCCGGCAAAATTTTCACCCAATCAAATGCATTCATCAGATCTCAGGTCATCAATTCATATAAGAGTTTTTAATTTTTATTCTTCTAAAAATTAATAACTCTTTTCTTAAAAAAAATATAAAAAAATGGAAGAATTTTATAGTTGGTACTCTGGTGGCCTTGTCGGCCTGATTATTGTTAGTTATTTTTTGATTTAAAAGTTATCCCGATTTTTATTGATAAAAAAAAAAAAAAAAAAGGATTTCTTTTTTTTATATATTATAATATATTTTTTTTTACAGTTAATCCTCGATTTAATAGCAATATTTGAAATTTTACAAACGGGTAGACGACCAATTTTTAATAAATTACTTTGGATACTTCTTATTTTGGTTTTCCCTGTTTTGGGTTTAATTATTTACTTGTAAGTAAATCAACTGTTTTAAAATGATAATAATTAAAACTTTTAACAACCAAAATTTTGAAATAATTTGTTATTTTTATCAAGACTTTTCTCTCATCGTTACGAATATGGAAATTACGAGGCAATTGTTTAATAACTGTCAAGATTGAAATTGCTAATAATAATTTTTTTTGCAAAGATATAAGTAGAGAAAATATTTACGTGTTCATATAATTATAATTTCTTACATTCACATTCTTTACTGGAATTTATTAAATCCAACTGGTATTATACGAGTTATTACATGTTATTTCAAGCATTAAATAATGATAATAAATATCTGACGATTTATATATATATGATTTGTATTTAAAATCTTCGATTTCCCAAATTATTTTAATTGCTTATACAAGAAATAAGAGAAATAAGAAAAATACAAGAAATAATTATTTATAATTTCCTGCCGTGGCTGTTTGTTAGAAAGGAAAGAAAATAATGAATCGAGGATTAAGAATTAATGAAATTTTTTTAGTTTTGGTTGGTTAGATGTAAATATTTAAACCATGTTAAAAGTTGCTTCAATAACAAACACGCTAATTTTACACTTTGCCTCTTGGCTTGTTATTTACTTAATACCTTCTTTAAGTCATCCTCCAACATATCCTTGAAAGCCTGCTTATTAAATAACTGTTGAAATTATGGCTTAGTTGCAACGCCTCAGCCTTATTTTATATATAGTCTCTAGAAACTTTTTCTCTTGCCCATAAAATCTTCTATAATGTCTTTTTCAATAACTCACATCATTATTACTTTATTAAGTATCCTTATTGTAAGTAGAAATTCAAAGATGTTAGTATTAATAAGTGGTTTTTCTTTTTATTAATTTCAATAAAACATATATTCAATAAATGTCTTAGTTTGTTCTTGACATAATTGCTATCTGGGAAGGTAATAAAAATTTTTTTTTACGCTTTTTTTTTTTTTTTTTTTTTTTTTTTTCTAAAAGTTTTTTACGTAATTAAATTAAATAGTTATACAGAGTGATCGTCCCACATTTCCCAAGGTTATTTGGTGTCTATTGATTTTCTTCTTCCCTCTTTTCGGGTTATTGATATATATGTAAGTATTTTTCGATCCATTTACCGATTTGCTTTTTTTTTCTTCCTCTCAAATAAAAATTATTAAATAATTACATTACTTCATTAGAGTACTTGGAAATCGAAAAAATCACAAATCACTAAATATTCCGTGCTTGCCTTAATGACTTAATTGAAACCATAAATCTACGAGGTCGATGATCCGATAATTTAATTTGGAGATTGAACGAGTTTATTTATACATGACATGCTATCTGTAAACGATTATTCTTTATAATTACAAACAGTTTTTTTTTTTTTTTTTTTTTTGCAAGCTGTGTAATGTGATTTGTAAAGATATTCTATAAAATTATTCCCCCACAGTCATAAGTCATTAAAAAATTAATATTCACATGTAATAAATAATTTTTTGATTGTCCTTTTTATTTCATTTTAATGCCTAACTTCAAAATTTGTAAATTCAAGTATTTCAATTTCTTCTTCCTTAAATTTTGCTGTATCTATTCGAGAATAAGGTGATCCTTCATATTGTATCCATTTTTTACTAAATTAATTAATTTAAAAAATTACAATTAATAATTGAATTAATTATGTAAAAGAAAATTATTAATCTATTATAATAACAATTTAATAATTACAAAACATTAATATTTTTTTTTGCGCCTTGTGCAATGCCAGTTACAGAACCATATTCTATAATTTATTAATAAAATGTGAATTAAATAAGATTATTCAAAATTATTTAAAATTATTTGTAAAAATGAATTTACCAGTATTTTTGACCCATCCTACAATTTGTAATTCTATAGCTTTATCTTTTGTAAATTTTCTAAAAAATACTCCTATTTTTATTTTCATTTTTTCATTTTATTTATTTGGCAAACCCAAAATAATAGAATGATAACAGAATAATAATATATAAAAGAATTTGAAATTTTTTACCTTGTACTTTTCCAAAAACTTCGTAAGTTAGGTTAACCAACATTGAATATTAATTATTAAAAAAAAAAAAATATTTTAATTTTTATAGTGAAATGATCAAGTGATCTACATACTTATTTATCTTAATTTGTCGTTATTATTATTATTATTATTAGACATAAATTGAATTGCCCTTATTCCCTTATAAAAAGTTAGATTATGATTACCTAATTATTCTTACAATATATTTAACATAAATAACTATAAATATCACTAATAGCTAGAAACTTAATTCTTGCTTTGCATAGTCAATCTTGCGCTAATAATGACGACGCAAGATAAAAATTTTCAATTGCTAAAAAATGACTGTAATAAATATAAAGGATTTAAATAAATAAATAAATAAATAAATAAATTATATACATATACGATATTTAAGCAAAGTTTTCAAAATTAATTTGGAATATCAAATTCCAGTTCTTTTGATAAAATTAATACACAAATTTAAGACTTCTTCAGGTTTTTC